GGTTATGAGATTGGTCAAATTGACCTACCTCATATAAAGTTAGGGTAGAGAAAATAACAGATACAATAGTTTTATTAAAATAAATATCTCTAATTTATTTAGGATGTTTTAGAGATTACATAAATGAAATGCAAGATTTTTCAGAGGAAGAAATGTATTTTTAATCTGTATATGAAAATTACTTTGTACTTGAAGCAGTTAACACTTTGACTCCATATATTCGTGAAGAAAATTTTATTGAGTGTTTTGTCTACAAATGACTTGATAATAAATGAAATTTCATGAAGATACACAAAACATATTAGAGAATGAAAACTATAAAGGTTAATTTGGGGTCATGAACTCTGTGAATTCAACTGATCCCATAGTGAGAGAGTTAAATAATGCACCAAAGAACACAGAATAATTAAATTAAAAAAAACAGACAATGTCCCATAACTATCCTACAATTCCTGGCTTTCTACATGTGCAACAAGAGTTGTTAAAAATTCAGTTAAGCTTGTCATAGTGTTTCCTGTGGATATAAACATTATATGCCATTTGATAGATTAAAACCTTGGCTTTCTTTTCATTATACATAAATACATGTCAGTAAGAACTATTAGCAATTTCTGAAAGAAAGGATAGGTGGCTGGGGCATGAGGGGTCTGATTTCCTATTTGATGGCTCTGTAACATATTGGATTGAAGGCTATAAGATTTATTCTTTGCCTGAGTGATGACATTATAATGAGTAATTTAAGTTAGATTTCATACTTCTTGAAGAAGGGGGTATGCCTAGAGAGAGAATGTCACAATTCTCATACTAGGGGAAATTCAGGATTTTTAAAAATATTGCCGTATAAAATTATGAACTAAATTGTTATGCAAAATTTATTCATATACCATGATGAGAAAGTAGTTTTAATAAAATTTTGAAAGTAACTCACTAAAACCTCATGACATGTGCAGAAAAAAATGCCAATAGCAAAACGAGTAAATACCTTTATATTTTAATTTTGGAAACTTCATGATTATTATTTTTTCAACTATTTTTTTTCCTTCCAAGGTTTGTTCAATATGAAATATCTTGACTTGTGTAACAAATGTTCCATTATCTAACACACATAAGAATCATTACAACCAAATTAGTACCCCCCTTTTAATATGAATGTCAAATTTAGCGACAGTTTGTTAAAGTGTCTTCTTATATTATGCAAAGCAAGGTTACCAATCTTGAGTTCCAGTTATCTACAAGCTGACCTTAAGGTGAAAGAAAATTAACTGTTATCATTAACAAATATACAATTTTAGTAAAAGCTAATTTCTAGTTGTGCACAATGAACACGATAACCAGAAAAAGAGGTCAACCTTGTATATTTTCAATTCACACAAATCTATTGCTTTGAAAACACAATTGTAACAGGACTGCTAGATAATATGGGTATGCATTCTAATATTTTGATTATAAACTACACAATGCAGTTTATTAGCTTAAATATAACTAGTGCAAGACAAATTTGTTTAGAAATAGTATTGATGATTTAAGAAACAAACAGCTTGATCATAAATTCAATTATTCCAAAATCCAACAGAATTAGCCAAAGTCAAACTTGTTTCCACCTTTTTCATTGTTAAAAAAAAATAAATTAAAAACCAGTAAGAAACTGATTATCACTTTCATCACTACCTTAGTGTTTGTATATATTATCAAATACAAACCCACTTCTTCATAATTTATTTGCAAGATTTTTCACACGGTATAATCATACTATCAAAAATATTGGTAACAATCTCAGATTCCAGGAGTTAAACCTGATTTACTTGACAGTTTAAGAAAATGAAGAATTACTTGGAACATGACACCTTGACTTTTCACCAAATTTACAACTTGTACTTACATTAAACTTATCATGAAGTGACACAACACTGGCTCATATGTACACTAACTGGCTACTATATTAGAACCCCGCCTGACACTGATTTTACAAGGTGCCAAAAGATGTTAGTTCCATTGTGTCCCAAAGACCTCATTAGGTTGAATCTAGTAGCCAAGCTGGCCAAGGTAAATGCTTGAATTCAGTGTTATACTCATCACATTACGTTTGGACAAAATTAGCTTGGCAGAGTTTAACATCAACTTCTACTGTTAAATCTATATGCTTGATTTTCAAAATCTGTTGGGAGTCTCCCTAGACACTGATGTTTTGTAGAATGTTTGGGATCAAATTATTTTAATTGATTCTTTTTGTTAAAGCCTCACAAAGTTTGGTTATAACTGCAAGTAGCATGGTTTTTCTATCCCTACAAAAGGTCATTAATAACTTTTAGCTTGTCATCTCCACTGTTTAAAATATGGTATACAACATTGTTAAGATTCTAAATTTGGATATCCTAACAACAGATGCACCACTCTTCCTTTTAAGGTTGTTTTGTCACCTTGTTGATTTACTTCAAATTTAATATGAAAACTCATGGATAATTTCAGATGGTATAACTTGGGAGGGCTTGCTTGGAACAGTTCCACCTAAATAACCATGCAGAAAACAAGAGGATTCCACTGGCTTAGATATTGTTGCGTCATCGAGGTCATGTGACTGGTGTGGCGCCCTCTAGTTTCTAGAACTATCTTGTTCTTTCAGGAATGCTCTAGTATTTACTAGATAGGGTAGTCGGGTATATATAAGAGGGGACAACGTGATGCGGTATTGTAATGCGTGTGTAGATAGTGAGTAACTGATCTGCAGTCAGAAGTATTATTGAGCACGTTCGTTGTTATAGCGTTTGTTTAGCGCGATTGTTGAAGTTGAGTGTATCGGTAAAGTTATATTCGGAAAGAATAAACCGGTTTAATAAGAAAGGACTTGTGTCGCTTAAGTTTCGTCGGAACGAAGTTACGGAAAGTTAATTAACAAACGGAGACGTAACAATATGCTAAACCATTCAATGTGATCTTTCGTTTGAATATTATTTTCCCTAAAC